CAAGATGAGGAAGTGCATTTATTTAAACAAAAGCATTTCTGGGGAGGGGTGCAAACAGTGGGGTTTTATTAAGCTTGCTAAATGCTGTGTAGAACATCTCCTTTTCTCTTCTTTTTGGGGGTAGTGACCTTTCTGTATGTTTAGTTTCTGACAGCATAGTGCTAACCTGTAAAACAGTAGATGGGAGTTGGGGTCAAAAGCTAAGGTCTCTGTCTGTCTCTTGGGTATATTGTCTTAGGACTGATTGCTGAGCTCAGACTATACGTTTCTAATATCTTTATTTTTTTAAAAATCCTTTTGAAACTATAAGCTTAAAATCCTAGTGCATTCTTTCACTCTGACTTCTCTAGATTCTCACATTCAGGCTGTATCTGAGTCCTTTGGATTTTTTTTTAAGGAAAAGCTCTGCCTTATTAGTATACTATATACAAAACTTCCTTTCATCTTGCAGCTTTATCCATGCCAAATATTTGTGATTCTTTTGTAATTTTAGTGTAATTCAACCTGTGCTTCAGATTGATAAAGGCATTGTTTTCGGCTTCTTTTCTAATAGTTATTAATCTTTATTGCCTTCTTATTGCATGGTTCTGCTTTAAATTTTCTTCTGCTTTAAGTTATTCTTCCAGTTAGTTGGGGTTTTTTTTATAGCCATCAGTATTGTAAGCCAGCATCAGCACCAATCCTTGTCAGATAGGGTGTGTGTGACAGAGGAGCAAGGTTTATGACAATTGCAGAGAAGAGTAGAAACATTTAAGAACATTAGGTAATGACAGGAGCGATGCTTAAACTGCTACTATTTTGTGTATTGAAATTTTCTTCTCATAGATGGAAAAATCCGTTTGGCAACTTTAGAACTTGGCTGTCTGTTGCTGAAGCAGCTTGTGTTTTCTAAAAATGGCAGCATCATAAAAGATGTTCACCTTGCTTGCCTTGAGGTAATTGTTTTCTTTCAAATTACCAGTCACAGCATTACTTGTCTTTGAGTCTTGTAGCATAGTTGAATAAACTTTTTTTCATTTCTGATTGCAGTAAGCATAAATGTGAAATTTTAGCTTCTAGAACATCTTTCCATTGGTGGCTCTGTGCAGTGTATGTAAAGAATCAATACCCCATGTTCTGTTTTAAGCTTTGCTGTCACCTTGCTATGTAAGAACTTAACTTCTCAAGCAGGGTTATGCTTAATTTTTCACTCTCAAATTTGTATGTCATCCATCTCAACAATGTAACAAAAAGTGCTTTTGAAACTAACAAACTCACATAAGTTGTATTTTCATAAGTGCAAGACAGGTATTCTGTCAAACTGTGGGCTGAAGGCTATGAGTATGGGAATATTAATAGACAGTCTCCTCTGAAGTATGAGGTTTTGGGTGGGCTTTTTTTTTTTTAATGTGAATTTTGAGTAAATGGTGTATTTACTCCCTGAAATACAGTCGCTGTATCTTTTCTAGGGTGCAAGGGAAGAAAGTGTTCATCTCCTTCGTCGTTTCTATAAGGTATATATGCAAAAAGCAGCAAAAAATCCTTTACATAATGTGTAATTAGAAGCAAGTCTGCAGCCCAGTCTCTAGTCCCCAAGGCAGCACTGTTTTTAAGATGGGAACTCCTGTTTGTGATAGAGAAGGAAGTGTTTCATTGGAGGATTCCTCTCCTTTCCTGCTCTTACCATACCACACTGACATACATTACAAAAAGGCTGTTAGCAGTCTCACAGGGTTTGTACTGGAGGTCAAGTTAGCAGTCATGTGCTTTTGTTGCAGCTGCTATGTATTTCATGGAACAGAGCCACACTATCTAACATTTCTGGGATTTTATCATTGACAGTGATATGGAATGTGTTTCTTTTTGGCATTACTTTTTATTTGTGTCTTATCTGAAATGATGATCTAGAATTTTACTTTTTTTTTTTTTTTCTTATTGGAGACCTCTGCAGCTTTTTGTCTTTTTTTTTGGTATTTTTAGCCCTAGGCATTAACTTCTATATGAGGAGCAGTAAATCCATGACAGATTTCAAGTGTGTAAAATCTCTTCCTGAAGGGCTCAGCTGTGTCCTGCAGTAGGGCTGGTGGAGGTGGTTGGAACTGGTTGTGTCCAGCAAGGAGCAGCCCTGGCCTCTCCTTGCAGAGGCCCCTGCAGCCCCACTGCCAGGTCCTAGGCAGGAACACCCAGTATGTAATTAAACAAAAACAAACAAGCGTGACTCCACAGCCGTAAGGATTCATGATGTGTCCATATCCCTTTTTTTGAAAGGGAGAAGAAATTTTTCTGGATATGTTTGAAGATGAATACCGGAGTATGACAGTAAGTGACACCCTTCCACCCTGCCAAATCCTCAAACCCCAATACAACCCAGGAGCAAGAACAAGTACTTATTGATAACTACTGAGTATGCTGGTATCTTTATTTCCAGGAGTAGAATAACAAAATGTGGGGGTGTGGTTTTTTTTTTTTTGTCTCTGAGGAGTTGTGTCTACACTTGTAGAAATCATTTATGTGAAATTTCACAGCTCTTTATTAATTAAGAGACCATTACATTCTGAAAGTGGGTATACAAAAATTACTTTATCTTGGGAAATGAGACATTGGATTAATTTTTTTTCCCCTAGGTATTAAACAATGTGAAAATCCTCCTATATCTTTCTGAAGCCCAGCAAGGTTTCAGTTTTGAGTAGTGCCACTTACTTACCAGTAGAGAACAGGGTTCTAGTGAGCAAATACCGGAGCCTTTGTCTCATCTAAGAGAGGTAGTGCCTGCGCTGCAGTACCGGATGTGAAAGTTTTAACAGATTACTAAGCTTAATCTCAGACAGTTCATATTTAAGCTGTAAACATGTTTTAAAACTGATTAGCTGTTTCAATTCTTTGGTGAGAATTCGGATAAAAATACTTTGGCTAGTCAGTTACAGGGTTTTTTCCACAGTGGTACAGGGATTTAATGAGCAGCCACTAGTTGTCTTTTTGAAAAATCTACAGTTGGTGTGTTGCAGTAAGTGTGTCAATATGGGAAGCATCTTGCATGTATCTTACCAGCCTAAATAATAAAGTATGTAGTGAAACATTTAATTTTTTAGTAGTTAAGTATTCCTGTACTTTTAGTTTGAGAAATGGCACCAATACTAGTATCACTTCTACGTTGCAAGTTCAGTATACGTATAGGTTTTTCTGTTGTATCTCTATTTCTGAGACTCGGGTTTTTTTATTTACCATAAGTTACAGAGTTACACTCTGGAACTTGAACTTCATTTTCCTTAAAGCATATTTATTTGCCTAGCTGGCAAATGACTTGCTGGGCAGGCTGATTTAAGTGCTAAGTAACACTGATGTTGTCTTGTCAGATGAGTTGTATAAATAACATGGTATAGAGCTTCTGTGAAGGCAGAAATATACTTGCTCTGTCTGAATGACAAAGAAAGGAAAAAGTCATTCATTAATGTTAGATGAGAACAAGTTCAGAGGAGCAAGTAAATTGAACGCTGTAGTCCTTAGTATTTTTGCTTTCAGCAACAAGTTTCCCTTTTTAACATTCTTCACCTTTATGATGTAAAACGCTCTTTAAACCAGTGTACACTCATGTGAATTGCATCTGAAGTATTTACTTGTTAGAAATTTTAGTTCTGTGTTCTCATTTGTTCTCATTGTCTATGTAGATTTCTGTATCTTTTTAAACATTACTAAAGACTACTTTTGAGTTTGTATGTGTGCAAGGCAGCCGTTCAAGACTGCACTGTGAAAATTCTGTACCTTGTTTCAGTCTGCTGCTTTGCTGCTATCTGACCATGGCAAAGGGGCCAGGAACACTTCCAGTTACAGCTGGCTATTTTGGAATGCCCATGTGACTGCGTTTTTCTTCTATGCAGAATATCATACAAGCTGTGGGAAGGGCTTTTATATGTTTTAGCCATTCCAGCTGGCTTTCTGGCAAAAAGAAATTCATGTGTCCAGTGCGTGTGTATGTAATAGAACTTGCATGAAATTGTCCAAAGGTACAGAAGAATAGATATTTCAGACATCGTTTATTCATGAAAATAAGCAACCTGTAAGGGAGAGACTCTGTTAGTGGCAAGATTGAAGGGAATTGTTTAGTGTGAAAGTTATTGCATTATTAGAGACTAGAGAGTTCTTTTTGGAGAGAAAAAGTTATAGGAAACTTTTTCTTGTGATTGAAGTAATTACAAATTTGAGTCAAAACTTAAAATCAAACCTGACAGACTTTGGTTTTTAGTACTCATGAAATAGCTTTTCTTCTGTAACCTTTCAGTTTTTTCAGTATGGAAACTTCAACAGTTCCCTGTGTTAGGGAACAATGAGCAAATAGAAAACAGAGATTGCATGTAAGGATCTTAAAATAAGACAGATAAAAAATTCTCAGAACTCTGTAACAATTCCTTCCTCTTAAAATATGCAACCATGAGTTATATTTGAAAGTAAAGATGGAAATGCTTATTGTTCTGTATGGTAATCAATATTAAAAAATTTTTATAGATTAAACCCATGAATGTAGAGTACTTGATGATGGATGCCTCAATACTGTTGCCTCCAACGGGGACACCACTGACTGGTATTGATTTTGTGAAAAGATTGCCTTGTGGAGATGTGGAAAGAACACGAAGAGTGAGTAAGACTATTTTTCTTACACTCATTCATAGCAATGATGCCAAAGGCTTTGAACAATTCTAGAAATACAAATGGTTTTCCTTGAAAGCTGCTTGGTTAGAAGCTTCATCCATGAAATCATAAAGACTTGATGAAGACAAACCTGTGTGTAGAGTATATAATATCTATCTGTCCCAGTGGAGAAACTGTTTTCTCTACAATTTCTTGTATCTAGTCAATTCAATATGTTCTTGCACTGGGGTTTTAATTTTTTAGACTGTGGAGACATCTACATAAACAGGCATTTTGATGACGCTCATTAATATATTGTCAGTTTTCTTTTGTGATCTGGTATCTCAGTCTACCTTTCATTATATTCTTATAGTAAGAATTTCCACTGGAAGGCTGGCTGGCTTCATATTGCTTGTGTTTCTAGACGTAGTAAAAAATGTAATTCTACTCGGGAGTGTTCATCTTGCTGAAGTAATTGATGATAGAGATCTTGAGAGTGAGGAGAAAAATAGCAAAATATCTGTTCTTATGACTGACAAAATTTGTAGAGGTGATACTGATGTGAATAACACCACCATTATCAGCATTCTTGGGATAATCAGTTCTTGGCCCTTATCTGGCAGTGTCCTATAAGCCCTGTAGTGCCAGTAAGTCTTAAAGATCTATTACTACATGACATTATTATTTGAAAAGTGCTGTTCTTTGGGTAGCTTTGCATTTGTGTAAGTGTATATATAACTATATTCAAGTACTCTTGAAGAAAAAACATGTTTCCAGGAATCTTCTGAAAACTTGTTTTCGTTACTTATTATAGGCCACACAACTTTTGTTATCACAGCAAGTTAAGTTTGATAAAGTACAGTGAACTATCTTGAAAAGTATTGTTCTTGGAAAGCAAAAAGGCTTCCTAGAATGCTGAGGCATTTAACAGAATGATACTTAGCAATGCACGTTAATGGAAACTGACTGCTCCATGGGTTTTCATGTGCTAAATAAGGAATAGCTTAACTTTTATTGGTGGAAATACAAAAATTAATACAAATATTCCTGTAAATTCTTTGAGATGGAACGGTCTTTCTCATCAGCAAGAACTCCCAGAATGCTTCCTTGTTGGTCTTCCTTCCCCTGATCACATTGCTCTAGGAGTTTTAGACTTTCTTAGAATTCCTATACTACTTTCTTCCAGCTAGGCTACCTCTCTTAGGCTGAATTGCCGTAACAATATGCTGAGCCTCAGGTGTATTTTGCAATATTGCTGCTGCCACTTAACCTGCTGGGGGTCCTTTTTGCTGAAGGTTTCAAATGGGTAGTGATTCAATTCTGAGCATCCCATGGCATGATTCTAAAGTTCTCAAGTTTTATTTCACTAGCAAGTGAGGAAGTCCCATACTCTGAGTATATCATGAGTTCTTAGCTGTTAAGAGATCAGATTTGGTTTTTTTAGGCTCTCACTTGTTCTTTGGCTATAGAAAGTCCCTTAAAGTGGCAATTCTTTAATAGCTTTAGGAGGAACTGTCAGAAATCAGTTATCTCTTGAGTTATCAAAGGCACGTCTCCAAAATCCAGACACCCAACCCCTCTGACTTATAGTCATTTTAACGTTTTAAGTTGTTAGGCTGCTTTCTGAAATCAGCTGCTACTGCTTGATCAAGCCTTCTGCCCAGAATCAGATGCTCTTTTGAGTTGTTGATAGTCCAGTTACTGCTTGTTGGTTGTATCTCTTCCTTCTGATTTCTGTAGTCCTAAAGATGGTACTGCTTACCAGTCACCTAGAATAATGCAAACTCATTTACATGCTTATTTGGCAAGTAATGAACAGTATGGGTCTTGAACTCTGCACCTTAGAGTACATAACAGGCAAAGACTTTGAGAGAAGGTTTTGAGCTACTGGTGAGAATGCTGTTTCATGGGAATGTAGTAAAATACTGATAGCTTTCCCTGCAAATTGCTTTCTTTGTGCATGGTGTGTGTATATAAACGAAGGAATTGGTGCAAAGTACACCTTGTTATGATGCGTAGTTCTTCAATGTAGATAGCAATTCAGAAAAAAAAAACCCAGAAGTCATCTGAAAAAAATTCTAGGCCACTGAAACTGCTCTGCTGTTTTATTGAGATCTAATAAAATATTATAGGAAGTCACAAATCACATGCTTTTGGGTTTATGTTGTTACTGGGTTTATATTGCTATTGCTAGCAAACTGAGGGCTATCAGTATTGCAGGCAGTACAGCGTAGTTCCCTTTTCATCTGATGTTCTTGTGGTTTGTTTTTTTTTTTCCTTGCAAAGGCTAAAGTTCTAATACTCTTTCCTACTCCTGTAGATTATTTTGCAGTAAATGTGATTACATGTTTAGAGATGAGTGACATTAGACATTAGAAAGAGGACGGAGGGGAACATAAGTGAAAGTAGGCTGAGTGATGGCTGCCCTCTGAATTAAAAAAAAAAACAACCCCAACTTGTTGGGTTTGACAGTTGGGTTACCAAAAATCCAAGGATGTTGCTGTTCTTGACTGAATTTGGAAACCTTTAAACAAAATTCTTCTTGAAACATCTGGTAGTAAAACTGCTTTATAGTAATTCTATTTAATTTCAGTAAATCCACAATACATTAGAATGCATTCTGCCTAAAGGGGAGAGATCATGTCCCGTTGTAAAGTGACTCTGCTCTTACTCATGAGGTAGTGTTAATATCATATTTTTGTTAGATACCCTTGAGAATCTTTGCTCTGAATAATCATATTGGTGGAATTTCTTAGATTTCAACAGCATACAGAATTCACATGCTCTGAATTCATCTGCCAGATACATGACTTCCCTCTCTTCATCCCTGTTCTGCCAGAAGTTTCTGAAAGTACCACCAGTATAATAGCTGGCCAAGCACTCACATTTCTGTTTCATGGGAGTCACAGTTCTGTTGATTTTAGAATTAGAGGGGTGAGGGTGTTTGCCTTAAAGTAGTTTAGATTTGTTTTTCGTAATACTTCGTGCAATCTGGGAGTTCCTGGGCACTGTAGCTGTTCCATGAATTTGATGCTTTTACTGTAAGGCAGCAGCTAATTTACAGTATGCCACAGAATTACTATGTAAGAAAAAAGAGGATTATAAATGGTGCCTTTCAAAATATGGCTAATAATGTTGATTGTTCTTTGGCACTTTATCTAGTCTTTGCATACCATTTGTCATTAATTTCTAAATCAAAACAAGAATATTATTTTCATGGACGAGTTGTTGAAAGTTCCTTGGGACTGGTGCAGCTTTCAGAGTGCTTTGCCCTGATGTAGACCTTCTGAGAATATAGATGAAGTTCTCTAAGAATGCCGTATTGCACGTGGTTAGTTTTGATGAACATAGCAAATTAAAACTCAAAAATCCCCACTGTTTTCTCTCTAATTTGCAGACATCTTGGATAGATAGACTCAGCCAGAAAAGTTATTACTGTGTTAAGTTCAAAATGTGAGAGTCTCTGAAGGTTGGTTGTGTAGTTGTCTGTAGCGTACAGGTATTGTAAATGCAATCAGTCTTAAAATAATGATAAAAAAAAAAATCCAAGATGGTTGGTTTTGCTTAAACACCTCCTGATTGGCCTGTCAGTCACAATCTGTGTAAGTGTGCCAGTGGGATAAAAGCTCTGCTGCTTCTACTTTGTTGAAAATAAGTAGCATGTTTCAACTTCTTCCATATCCTTTTTTAACTGGCTTTGAAATTTGAAAATTTTCTCAATTTAAAAAGTAAATTTACTGCATGACAACAAACTCAGGGGTTGTAAAAGTGAGTATACATTTGTAAGATTCTGTTAAAATATGTAGTACTGAGTGCAGCGATACTTTAATATTCTTTTTTTAACTTCTCAAGGCAATCAGAGTTTTCTTTATGCTCCGTTCGCTATCACTGCACTTGCGAGATGAACCAGAAACTCAGTTACCACTCACAAGGGAGGAAGATCTGATAAAGACAGATGATGTTCTTGACTTGAGTAAGTAGTCCCTCAATTTCCCAAATAGTCTATGACAGAGAAAAATTGCTGGCGCTTTTTTTTTAAGTTAAAAACCCCAAATAGTTGTCTTGTTTGTGTAATTGACTACCAAGGATGATTGTATTAAGTTTGTCTTCTACTGGATTTGGAACACTTCTTGTGGTTTTTTGGTTTTCTTTGTTTTTTTAAAGACTGTTAATAAATATTCCAGCATTTAAAAATTAGCACATAAATGATTCGGAGTCCTTCATGTGGTTTCCTGGTATGTTAGTTTCCTAAATGAACTGATCCTAGGAGGATTTTCTTTTATCCTACTTTGACCTATTCAAGGTGCACTTTAAACCATTCATGAACTTTAAGAGACTGGAGGTAATTACTCCAACAGCTACACTGTGCTATTTTACCAATGCTGGGATTTGGTTGGCATCATATCCCCACCTCGCCCTGGAGTTCTTTTTCTTCCCTGATTCCCTATGTTTCAGTGTTTGATCTTACTCCAACTAAAAAAAAACCAGTTGCCCTAGTTGCCTTAGTTGTTATGGGATTATGTCCAGTATCTCAGAGACCTGAGATGCATCAAGTCCATTGATAATATTAATTATCTGAGTGAAGGGAAAACACTGAAATCAAGTGAGCTAAGCAAAAGTTCTGTGATATCAGAGCTGCTGTGCAATAGCTTAATGGTTGAAATCCAGATTAAACCTTAAAAAAATAAATTCTATTTCAGAATTATTATTAAAAATTATTAAATTTAATTTTTAGAAAATATGTTTGTCTGCAATACTGAAAATGTCAGAGGGCACTCCTCTGGCATACAGTCCCAGCCATGCAGCTTAGAGCAGTGAAAGGTTTTGAGAATAAACTCATTTATCTGTAAATGTGGAAAGAACGCTATCAAAGCGGTTAGCTGAACTTGTAAAAATGTACAAGCTGTAGGATACAGACAGGCTTTTACTAAGTAAATGTAAGCATTAGGCTACAATAGATGAGAAGATATCAGTCCAGTGCTTGCATTTTTGGTAGCTATATGGCCGATGGCGTGGAAGACTGACAGTTGAGTCATTGCAATTCCAATTTGTTGAATTTCTGTATTATTTAAAAGATTTAAGAAAATGTACAGGGAAAAACACTTCTTAAAATGTGTTCTTCAATAGTTGTATTCTGTCCTCTTCCTACTGGTATTGCTTTGGGTTGGTCAATTAAGCAGAATGAGCTTAATGCAAACTCATCACTTTTGGTCTTTCCCAAAAAGCTTTTCCAAAGAGAATGAACAGCACAAGATGTTGTTAATTATATTACACAATTATTATTCGTCAGGTAAAAAATGATATCCAGAATTCAGTTACTGTTGACTTGCTAAAGGATTAGTAATACAGAATTAACTCAGTTTCCTGTTTCAAATGACTTAGGTATTTATTGTAATGTTGGCTCTTTTTCAGAGGGTGAGCTGAAATAATGAATCAGCTTCTACTGAAAAAGAAGTGTTTTTCTTAAATTAACTGGAAATCTGATTATGAAGTAGTTGTTAGTTTTTTTAAGAACATGCTGAACAAAAGGTAGATATGGTTGAAATACTGTTTCCAAACGTTATTTGTTCCTCCTCCCATCCCCCCAAAAAAAGAAAAAGAACACCTTTTGTCCTTGCTTATCTGTTAGTCTAGAGAAATGCTGACCACTCTCATTATAAAATTTAGTGGACTGTACTGCAGGTATTGTGCAGTTTATTGCAGGTGTCTTTTTATTTATGACTTTTAGTTTCTAAGGCAGTTGCTTTTACACAGAATACAAGGTATCCTTTTCTTGGAACATGTAGTTTAGACCATTGATTATTAATACTTCACTCATTTGTAATTGTTTATAATTTTTATTACATGTCCATAATGCCAGATTAATTGCTAAAGTAACGGTCCATGCCCTGTATGGTGTCCAAGGTTGTTTCCTTCTTCCAGTGTGGGATGCTGAATATAAATGTTAAAAGATTCTATATAGAGAAAGGATGTAAAAAAACCTCTACCAGTCTGAAAATTACTTGCTTCAATTTGAATGAAGTGTTCTAAAATTTAAAGTAATGCCTACTATAAAAAGTTTTTTTAAGAAGTTGTATTAAATTAAAATTGTACTGTTGATTTAGAACATGACCCTTTTAGATTTAAACTCATTTCCTGCTTTAAGGCATATTATAGTCCTTAACTGTACAGTCATTAACTTAAAACACAAATTTATACTGATCTATATGAACTAAGGCAACAGTGGTACTGAATTGCTTGTCACATGGTATGTGTATGCATGTGCACGAAGCTATTATTTGTTAATATGTATATACATTCGTATGTGTTTGCACGTGTGCGTGTATGAGTAGAAAAAAAAATAGGTTCTATTGCCCTACCCATGGCACCTATGTGCTGGTGCTCCAGAGACCGTTATGTGAGAAGGAAGCCCTTACATGAGAACCTTTTATTTTTCTGTAATTTAGCTGAGAACTCACATCTTAATTTTCAGAAGATTTTATCCTTTCCACTATGATAAGCATAAACTCAAGTTTAAAATAAAAAATAAAGTTAAAAAAATTTTTTTTTTTTTGGAGGTAGGAAGATTAGAATTCTCGTTTGAGTCAGCATTAAGCTGTTTCAGAAGGTAAACGGCAGTATTTCAAATAAAGAACAACGTTGGGATTGACTGGAATACTTATTTAGCTTTGATTCATTTAAAGGACTGGAGGTGCTTTTTCTTTGAGTGACTACTTACCCGTGCTTTTCTGCTTTCTTAATGGAAGGTAGCAGAGACACCCACATGACTAGTACATCCCAGGAGAGAACTGAAACAGTTTCATATGAACTAACCTATTTTATTTTATTCCTGAAGTATTACCTGATGGATAACAGTGGATGGATAGTTGGACTGGATGATCTTAAAGGTCTTTTCCAACCTAAACGATTCTATGATAGTCCTCCCAACACCTTTGCTAAGTTGCACTTTCCCAGTGCTCTTTTTCAGAAGAGCTGATGGATTTCTAGCTAGTGATTTCTAGCTTGTCTTTTTAATCTGCAGACTATTCTACAATGAATATTTTATTGCTATCAAAATTATAATAGTAACGGTATAGAATTCTTAACTACATTGTTTACCTGATGTGTTAGGGAAGCATTCAAGACGTCTCACATCTGCAGTATAAAAGCGGAGAGACTCAAAAATGTGGAATAGTGCTTAGAAGTCATCTTGTACATAAGAATCTGCCAGGCTATACAGGTTTTTTGTAATACAGAGTATCCACATAATGATGGTCGTTCTGTGCCCTAGTGTATTCACTGCTTTCTGATCTTTTCATGGGTGGTTTTAGTCTTTATTTTGGGACCACAATATGTAATTACAGCCATAGATTTTTTCGAAGCATGATTCTTTCCATATACTCCAGCATTTATTAGTAAACAAAGATTTTTCTACAGCTGGCAGAGTTATAGAAGTTCAGTTAAACACACTGCTTACTCTACTATTGGTGAAAACAACCTGTATCTAAAGAGGGAGTCAGTCAGTCTGGGATCTCAAAATTTTGAACAGAGTTCTAGCCTATTTCCAAAACCTGAAATAAACTGAAAAAGGCTGTAAAAAGCCCTTCCTGTTGAGTTTTCTCATATCCTGTCTTTGAGTCAGAATCTGTCTTGAACAATCAGTTTCATATGTTGGTTTCAGAAGACTTTTCTTTCCTGGTTAGCTAGAAAAGCATAGACTTACTTCATCTTCAAATCAAGTTGACAGGTGTTAGACCTGTTCCAAAGAAGTGGCACTGGTATATGTGTCCACAAAATATGATCGTGTTTCAAGTGTCTCCTTGAGAGGAGCTTTTCTTGTAAGTAAACTGCTAAAATAATACTGTGTAGCACAGATACAGATACTTGGATCTGATCCTCACAGCAAATAGATGCTATTTGGTTTTAACAAATCGTTTGCCATGATTATGGGGTTGGTGTTAGCTGTTTCTTCATAGAATCATAGAACAGCCCGGGTTGGAAGGATCATCTGGTCCAACCTTTAGAAAAGGTTGAAAGAAAAAGAAAATCATTTATTAAAATATTTAATGAGACAGTATTTCCACATTTGATTCAGAATCATCCAAGCTTTATTTTTAAAGCATTGGAAAATGCTGAAGTTATTAAAAATAGAAATATTCAGTATTCAAAATTCAGTAAGCATCTGTAATCATATTTTCCCTGTTTTGTTCTGTTGTTTTGGGTGGTTTTAACGTTTTCCTTGGGATGTTTACATTTTTCCCTCTATCGCTTCTTCCCATCTACAACACTGCACACTCTTTGTTCAAAGTCATCAGAGTTGTTTTGCAATTTTTATTTTTTATTTTAATACTTTTAAGGCTACTGGCAAATACTCTGCTTTCATTGGCGCCTTTGAGTGAAGTACCCTGTTCACATGTGCATCAGTTTACATATTTCATAGAATCATAGAATCATTTAGGTTGGAAATGACCTTTA